TTATAAAGTTCTGAAGGACATGAGATAAAACACAGACTGTTGTAAATTGACATTTAGTTGGTAAAATGTGAAAGAACATCTTTATTTAGCAGAATTTTTTCAAGTATTACCCAATATAATATAGAATAAAATAAAAAAGCAAGAAATGCGCTTTACAATGTAATATTCCGTGAAATAAAAGTTCCAACCAGTTTTTCATGAGAATCTTTTATTGATTCTCCGCATGGTCATTAGCAACAACTTGCATGTGCAGGGATACAAATCCACTTTCTAGGCTCTTTTTATAAACAAGTTTGCCAAAAATTCTTCATGGCTTTTCACTTTGGTATCGCTTATGCAATAAATTACGCAAATTAACAGTAATCATATAAAATTGTCATAAATCCCACACCACTATCCTAAAATACAAAATGGAATCGGTCAAGATATTATAATAAGCCTTCATTTACCTATTTGGGAAGGAGTCAGGCCCTTCTTTGCCAACTTGAAAATCTGGTCTTTAACATCTTCCGACGATAGCTTCAGCCATGTGGGCACACTTCGCCGATACGGCAGTGCAGATTGGGATATACCCTTACTGAAATCATAAAGTGTGATGTGAATCGCAATACCGTATCTGTAATATGATGGCTAAAGCCGTATTCTTACAACATGGATGCCAAAGGCCACGCGGTACCTCATTCCACTACATGTTTGAAATACAAATGTGTAAATAAACAGATCTGTGAAATTTCAGCAGAAGGGGAAATACAAGACGAAAGAGTACAAAATTATTTCATTAGAGTGCACAATTTACCCAGGAGCATGCATACGACCCATCTTCTCACCACTATGATCACACTTTCAACCAGAAAAAGACAATGAACAATTCTGCCAACAGTCTATACATGTAACCTTAACATAATTTTCATTGTCAAGAATTCTTTTATATCTATACAATATGTATGTAATTTGTTACAAATTTTCATAGTAGTCGAATCTCATAAACTACTGGTTGTAAAGATAATAAATAGTTATAGCATATATATGAATAGCCGTTAGTAATTCTGAAGGAATTGCGTGAAATCTTTCGATTAACCGTTGGTAATTCTGAAAGAAACTGCGTCGCACCTGTCGGTCGACAGCTGAATGCGTTCATGAAACCAAAGCCATTTCTATTAATCACAGATTTATTACGTACACATCTCACAGGACCGGCTCAAGAACGTGCACATTAACCTTAGCTTGTAGTTTAATCCCAAGTTTGTGTAATTACTTTGAAAACTGAAGCAAAGGTGTAGTATATGTTACTGTAACTTAATAAATGGTACAGAGTCCCAGATGTGTCACGTTTCCGTATTTATGTCTCTGTGGTCCAAATCTTATAATGCATTTTCTTGCATTATGAACGTGTTTGCCTGCGGTACGCGAAGAAAAATGGCTGACAGTAAAAAAGAGTCAAGGGCGGCTTGGCTGTCATATTTTCTGAACTTATAATAGTTTTGTAATGTAGTTTTTGTAGATGTATTTGTATAATCGCAAACAATCGTGTGTATGTCTCAAAGTGAAGGTAACAATTTGCGTTTTAAAGTGGTATTTGAAGCATTGCAGACGTCTTTCACAGAATCCGTTGGCCTTATTTTGTTCTACGTTTATACTGCCAGTTCAGAAAAGGTCTTGAAAAAGACATTTGTCACATTACATCCATATTTTCTTGTAAATCTAGATTTATATACGAATTCGCTGTGAAATGTGATAAAAGGAGTTCAGTTCTAAGTAAACTAGCAACTAGGTTTTATGTAGGGAGTGATTTGTAAGGATTGCAGTCGAAGCATAGGCAAAACATTTGCGGAGTTTCGAAGTGATTTGGTATCTTGTAATTGATTCTTGCATGCTTCTAATTTCTGACATTTTATTTTAAACAATGTTTGAATAACTGGAATTTGTTATTAGGTATGTTGACTAATGAAAATGATAACATTCAGTACTGTGAGCAATATTTGAAAATCATATTCTTACAGAATATATTGGCTGCTTAAAATTAATTAATCCTGTAATTTTGGGGCTCTGTAGTACTATGAATACAATATATATATATATATATATATATATATATGCAGTGGAATGGTTGAACTAAGGATAACATTTCTGGGTTGAGTGAATTGATGCAAGATGGCATTCAACTGGCAGTAGGTCCACACGATTTCAAAGCGTGCCTGTGATGTGAATTAAACTTAGCATAAGCTATGTCTCCTACACTATTTGATTGAAAAGATATTTACATGATGTTATTTCTGTTATTCAACATTTTACAATTTGTATAATTGTACCAAATTTGTGTAGCCATACTTTTCACAATTAACTCTTATACACATAATTTTAGTATTTCATGTTTTCTTTTTGCATATATATATATATATATATTTGCAGCTATTTTACTGATAGTGCATTACTGTCATGCAATGACAATGCATGAAGAATTTGAGGTTTTCACAGCAGTGAGTCTGAAGATGGCTGTCCTCTCTGTTGTAGTGCTGTGTAGTCTGGCCTCATTGCCCTGATGATGGAAGCAGCAAGGACCTCTGAAACATTTGTAAACTTTTACCAGACTACATGGCACAACAACCAGGAAGCCATCTTTAAAATACATGAAGATTATCAGAGATTTTTTTGAGGGGGGGGGATCATTAATATGTCTATACGTGATGAATTATAGAATGTTTATTGGATTAAGTGCATTGTATGGATGCCAGTTTCAAGAGGAAACTGATTTGTTTGTATTCTTATCCCATTGCTTTTTCTAGGAAAAAATAAATTAGAGTAAGAAACACATGATTTTTCTGAACCGTGAAAGAATATAAGGAAGTTGTGCAAATTGAGCTGTTACACTTTAAGAATACTGCTGGTTTATAAATTATTTTTTAAAATATTATAAAACAAGATTTGTATACCAGACCACATACATAGCAAACCAAACCATGTGACTAACATTGCAACTCTTTTGATCTGTGAACTTATCATGTTATGTCTGGAGTCACTTGGGAAACACTATAAAGTGTTGCCAACTGTATATTTAGAATTCCCTAGTTGAAAAGTAATGAGCACTTTTTAGTATTTGTTCTCATTCTAGCTAATCGTCACATGGCCTGAAACATTTTTATAATATACCACAATTGATGTCCCATGATGGGTATTTTGCACAAACCTAACTGAAAGTTGTACAAATTCATGGTACAATTTTTAAAGTATTTTAATTTCTCAGTTCATATCGTTGTATGAAGGCTGTGTCGGCTTAACACTGGGTTGCAAAGGTTAAATCAGAATTCTAATTCAAAATATAAGGCCTTGCAACGACTTACATTATGTATTAGTTTCAAAATGATATTTTGTGAAAGTTTCATGCATTGGTTGATCTGGCATGGAATGACTATTCCAGTATTGAAAGCAAATCTTGATAAATATTTCCACATTGCTGAGCCATGATTTACATTTAACTTCTGTGAAGAAATAGTGTTTTTGTGTCATTTTCATTTTCAGAATGAAGATTACTTGGCATTAAATGGTGTAGAGAAAATATATATAGTATGACATTTCCTCTTACACACCTTATTCCAGAAATACAAACAAAGTTATATGGAACTTTATTTATTACTGTGAATAGTTCTGCACAGCATTAATACACTGCAGATGATAGAGCCTTGTATTTTGTGGGTCATTATATTACAGATTCATTTACATGAATCAAGTCATTATATCTTGATAAAAATTAACCATATTGGGACAAAGAATCTTTGAATTTTATAGTTGGGCTGTCTTTTCATCTTCATAACCTCCATATTGAGTGCTGCTACTATGATTAAAGTTCTATTATGGTGACTGAATGAATTTTCAATTAGTTTACCTTTAAGAAATCCTTATGCTGCTCCATTTCAATATGTGTTATACACACAGAGGTTAACAATTAAAAGTGTCCATCCTGTTGTAAGAGCAAGGCAACAACTAGTGAATTGGAATCTTAGAATCATTCATAGTACAAGCCAAGGGTGTGGACCATGCCATTGCTTTAATATGAATGATACAATAAAGAAAAAAATGTAATTGCATACTTATTACATCTATTTGCATAAATATTTACAGTATTTAGTAATTTTCAATCAAAGTAAATTATATAAAGTGTAAGGAGTGAGATAAAAGATAATTTTTCAGTGCTGGCTTGAATAAGTTTATATCATGACTTATATACTATTAATATGCTGTCTTGAAGAGTATTGAATAATTTGATCCCTTCATAGTAAGCACCTTTATGATAACTAATGAGTTTAGTGCTTGACAGATGAAGGTCATGCTTATGCCTTGCATTTGTGCTATGTATGTGAGTGTTTGGAACTTCTCCATGTTATCCACAATGAAAGACAGTTATGCAAGTAGGAATCCATTAACCGGGGGGGTGGGGGTGTTTCCTCTCATGTCGGAAGGAAGTCATGGGCCACCACACGTAATGGAAATTCTGTCTGTGTTTGAAAAGAATTTGCAGTAAACCTCCTTTACTTACCTTAGTAGTTACTGGTAGTTGTGTCTTATGATGTCTGAGAACAATTTTATTGTGTGGCAAGTCCAAGTTCACCTGCAAACAATTTCTGGAAAACAAATTTCAGAAGTTTGTTACCAATTTTATGAACACATTTATTGTAAGTTTAATTTCTTCTGAAATTGTCAACAAGAAACGTTGATTAGTATCTTACTGTTGTATGAAAAGAATTATTACAGTTGTCTGGTCATAAGAACTAATGACCAGTGATTGAATTCCTGATGTGTCACATCAACCATGTTTTTCCGTGTGCATGATAACATTCTTGTTTCCGTTGTCTATCTCTCTGTGCAGGCAGTAACTGATCAAAATCAAGGGATGAATTTCTCTGTATACATATACACACAACCTCACTGAATGTATTATTTCCCAGGCTGAACACTCCATTATGATAAATGTAATGTATCCAAATATTTGTCACTGAGTGTAATTTTGGTTGGGAACAATATAATTCCTATGCTATTATTGAATATTACAGGAATACTTAGAAGATTGATGTTCTGCATATATAGTGGACTTCAGACAGTGCAGATAATGTTCAAAATAATTTAACAGATTTTACTTATATAGAAATTAAACATGTAACAGTTCTGCTTGTAATCTTTACTGGCCTTGTAATCCTGGGGTCCCAGGTTCGATTCCCGGTGGTGCCCGAATTTATAACTTGTGTTGGGCAAGGCCGTGGTCTAGGCAACACGGAGGTTTCCTCCGGGGGCTTCCCCGGTTTCTCCGTGGCATCCCAACAATTACTCCATTCACACACGGAAGAAGGCAATGGCAAACCACTTCTGGATCATCTGCCAAGAACGTATATGAACAGGTCCCAATCCGAGAAAAGGATGGAAGGATCCTATTCATATGGACCTGTCGTCAGACAGAACACTAAATAAATAAAATATACATTTCACTACTTTACATTACATTTCACTACATTACATTTCATTTCATTACATTACAGAGACGTATTTACGTCAAATTCTCCGGAACCGTGGTTCCACTGTCAATTTTATATTTTGAAGACAATTACAGGTGGAATTAAGAATCAAAACTCAGTACGCTTATAAAAGACATGAGTTAATGTGCAGAAAATAAGGAATTTTAGAGAAGTGGCATGGGTTTCTGCCCTGAGTCAATTAATTTTTGACGTAAATACGTCTATACGGAAGGGTCTGCAAAAAAGTGAAAGGAAAATGTGGAACGAAAATGTGTAAGATCCATATCATCAATGTGTAAATATGGACCGACAACAATGGTCAGCTTGCGTGCATTGTTATGTTACCTAGGAAACATCATCTGTTTACTTGGCATTGCTGTGTTACATTACTGTCAACAGTCTTTCGTTATTGCGGAAAGAGCTGAGCTGTGAATCACTTGTAGAAGAAGTGCGTCGTAGACTAGATAATTTTGTGCTGGTAAAAACGTTTTAGAATATCACAAGTACTTATCTTATATAAGATTTATTACATTACATTTCATTTCATTACATTACAGAGACGTATTTACGTCAGATTCTCCGGAACCGTGGTTCCACTGTCAACTTTTTGTTTTGTAAATTTGGATTTGCTAAATGGTAAAATAGTAAAAAGAGTAACACCCTCTTATTATAGAAAAGAAATGAACTTACAGTGTTAGTTTTATAGTGCTAAGAGAAGTGTGTGGAGAATTTCATCTTCTGAACTATTTCAGAAGAATATGAATATTAAAGAAATATATTTTGCTTATCTGGCAGAAGGTTTAGTACTGAAGTATGGTTTGTTTCTTTGGTATGTGACAAATGTTTTGGAAATGTTCTGTCTAGTACAGCTGTTCTCAACTTGCAACATGCATACATCTTTTAAAATATTGTGTTACTTGTGTGATGAAAACAATTATCTGATATCAGGAAACATGCTTTGTTGATGTCATCAGTGTTTGGCAGTTCCTTTTGCTGAGTGCAGCTGTTTGGCATAGTGAAAAATACCAGATTAAGAACTAGGACATGTTTTACCAAATACTATTTGGTCATATGAATGCAGGTTTAGCAGCTGAAATTAAACCTGGTATGGAGAGATTAATGAAGCAAAGGCAGTGTAAGATATCTTACTATTAGCTTATTTTGGAGAAAGTTGTATAATGTGTGAATCTGTTTGCAGTAGTAAGTTACTAGGATTTTTAATAAATTGCTGTGAAGCTGTATGAATGAGGGTAACTGTGGGTTTATGCCTGGAAAAGGTTGAGAAACTGTTGTCTAGTAAGAAGGAAATATGTTATTTATTATATCTTACATCCTTATAGTCACTAAGATACACATACGATTGTTTTCTTACAGATTAAACAATGAGTGAGGAGAGTGATTATGATGTCTTCAGTCATGCAGTGCGAAGGGGGAAGAGACGTTCTCGAATAGAAGACTCTGGCAGTAGTACTGATAGTCCTTTTGAACAACACCGAAAGCGTAGGGGAGTTCCAGTAAGTGATATTTTTAAGCTGTCTGTTGTGTGCTTCAGTATGGAACATTTTTGTTTTCCAGTCTCTAATTTAAACATGTAAATATTGAAATGCAGTGTGTAATTTTATATTTTGTTTTGTGTAAGTGTGAAACTTTGCCTTTCACCTCAAAAGAATAAGAAAATATTGAAGATCTTGAAGAACAAGGTGTTAAGACACTTACATTGCTGAACTTGTGTTTAATAACAGAAAATATATGTCTCAGCCCACTGTAGTGTATAGGTACAGTGCTTGCTTTTTTATTTAAACGCTTATGTTTAGTCCCCGTCCCGCACTGTAGCTGCGCGGTCTGAGGCATCATGCTTTGGACCGGTGATACGGAATTCGCGCTGGTTCGAGTCTCGGCGGAGAAGAAATTTTCTCATGAGGTTTCGACCAGTGTATGGGACCGGTGCCAACCCAGCATCGTGAGGAAATTGGAGAGCTACAATAAGTAGCGTAATCTGGTCAGGAAAGCTAGCAATGGCTGGGGGTTCGTCGTGCTGACCACACGTCACCCTATATCTGGTTGGATGATCGTTCACCTCTGCTTAGGCATGTGAACTTGAGGCCAGCAGTCAAGCTAGTCGGCTTTGGCTCTCTGGAGCTGTTACGCCACGGATTTAATTTTTTATGCTTAGTCCCCATAAGTACAATTTTTTCAATGTTCTGTGGTGATTCTGTTGTACATCACAAGCTTAATTATTACTCCAAGGTGAAGTTGAACACCCACATGCAGAAATTCAGGATATATTTAGTGTGTACCAGTTTCAAATGATGTAGGTTCATTAGCATGTCCATGTAATTGATTTCAGAATACCCCAAGAGAATATTAGAATTATTTTGTATTAGTATTTAAATGAACTAAAGTTTTTGTAACATGTTTCAGAGAGTTGCCAGTGATCCTGAAAGCAGCAGTAGTGACAGTGATAGCCCTGTGGAAAAACCTGCTTTAAGAGTGCGAGTACCTGTAAGTATGGAGCGTTGTTTAGTATCTGTTCAAACGTATGTCACAAATTTTATTCTTAAGCGTCATTATAGTGCAACAGTCAAAGATTTATATATAGATGGTGTAGAGTTTAGTCCTTAAGGCTGCTATCCCAGTAAATTTTTTTGTTTATTTTTTTGGTTTTTTTACTTTGTGTTGGTTGAACTGACAGTGACATGTAGTACATTGTAACATTCATATGATGCAAGACAGAAGTGAAGGGAATAATGTTTTATCTAATTGTTTCAAACACGCAAAAGATTACAGTTATAATGAGATTGTTCGGTCCCGAATACATCCCATATAAAATAATGTTACATTTTCCCGCTTCTATCGTTCCTCGAACTATCGTTTTATCGCATCGATCGTTCAAAAATCTTAGTCCCGGCCCACAATTTTCCCGCAATGATCGTTTCTGAGAATTTAAAATGCTGGGTTTAGAGATAAATTAATACCGAAAGACGCATAATGTTTTTGGAATACACAGTAGCGGTAACCTGTTATGTCGCCCAACCAGCACAGATTCTTTTGGAATGAGGAGTCAGCGGTGCAGGGGTGATAGTTGGAGTGAATGGCGGTGCTCATTGTCAGAAATTTTATGAGTTTAATTAGGGTGCACTGATATTTCGTTCCAGCGATGCCAGATGGCATGTGCAGTGTGAATTTCTTCACAGATGCTTTTATTATAAGTACAAAGGAAAGGCGGGCGACACTATTCATTCTTCTGGTTCATCTTGTTTCCAGTGGTTCAGTGTCTTCTACAGTTACGTTTTGTTGAGTTTGGCAGTAATAGTATTTCCATTCTTCCTGTTATTGTTCGCGAAGGGGGTGGGAGTGGTGATGAAGAGGAAGACGACGAATGCGAGCCCGAAGCTGTGCCAAGTTTTGCCGAAGCACGTGCTGAATTGGCAAAAGTGAAGTCGTTCTTTTATGCGCATAATATTAGTGAACGTGACAAGGAAAACATTTTGAACGTGGAAAGGGCTCTGTTTGGCCTAAAACATAAAGTTTCGACAATCCAGTTGTCCATTAAAGACTTTTTTGGTAAAAAGAAGTAACTTTGAAAGAGAAACATTCCGTTTTTTTAAAAATTCTTAATGCTTTCCCGCAACTATTGTTTTCCCGTATTCATCGTTTTTATTTCCCACCCCTGCCAAAAACGATGCATCAAGGTTTCACTGTAATCAGTGATTGATTGCAATTGGCCATTGGCACATGTGCCACAAGTGGTATTACTTTGTGTGCAGAATTCTGTTTCAAAGAAGTATTTTGATAAGGAAATAGTAGCAAATGAGCAAACCAGATGTTAATTCATAGGTACATTCATGTGGGCGAGAATGAAATTTATGTCCATATGTGTGGTACTGCACAAATGTATACAATCCATCATTGACAACAGCAATTACATAGCTGCACCACAAACTCACAGTATGGAACAATTCCATCTTTTTGTTTGTTTTTGTCATAGGCTACCTGTGTGTCTGTGATTCCAGTCATGCATGTTACAGTAATGTATTATCTTCCATATTTTACAAAAGAATGTTGCATTTCTTTTATGGATGAATTTTTGCGTGCTTATTTCAGAGTTCTACAAATGTTTTATAAAGTACAAAGGCAGGAAATGAGAGATGGAAATTGTAGGGGTTTTTAAGGATGGTGCAAGAAAAATATTATGTGACTGACAAATAGAAAAGCATTATAGAATTATAGAATTTAGTCTGTTAAATGGTATCAAAAAACTCAGAACAAAGATTTTTGCCTAAGTGTGAGGAAGTGCAAAACATGTTTATATAATAGGCATCAATAAAACCAATTCACTCACAAACTTCTCTAGTTCTAATATAATAGTTTCGAGGTCACGAAATATGATGCTAGACATATAAAACCATTTAGTGATGGTGAATTTTAAAAACAAATTTTGCAAATGTGTGCTGAAATTTAATGAAATTTTCAGATAAGGATAAGATTTTGCAACATATCAAAGAGCTGCCTAGCTACAAAATTAGGGGCAAAGTAATCAAAAAGAATGAAAAATGTCTGATCAACACAAAATTATTTCAATTTATATATATATTTTTCTTTTGTCCCAGTGAGTGGATATACATCACATCTTCAGTCCATGTAGTTATTGTAGTTTGATTTGTGAAGAATTCTTCAAATTGCTTGTGTTAAATGAGGCAGCTTGCTGTGATATTTGTAGTGCTGCCATGCACATGTTCTCAGATTATCAAATAGTTGTTTCTAAAGTATTTTGTTACTAATGCCCCTCACAATATGACTAGCAAAGAAGCAGGATTTGTAGTATTGCTCATTCCATTGTACCTTTTCATTTCACTGTCCATCAGAAAGCATTGGAGTATGTCACATGCAAGATGCAATGGTAATTGTCTCCACAAGAAAAAGATTAGAGAGAAATAAAATTTACCAGTTACATTTATTGTTACTGTGTGAATTATGTATTAACTCTGTTTCATAGTGTCAGTTTCATCACGTGTAACTTCCTGAAACAAATGTGTATCTGCTTATATTTATTTCTGCAGCGAGTTGTGAGTGATGAAGATGGCAGCTGTGATGAATTGGAAGGGTCACAGTGGGATGAAGTCGATGGAGAAGATGGTTCTGGTGATGAAGAGGAAGAAGAAAATGGTTGGTTATTATTGGTTGCTGAACTATTGCTGCAGCTGTTCCTGTAATTAATGGGAAATATTTAGAGTGGGATTGTCATACTGTTAGTATGTCTGCTTGTACATTGTGTTTATTGTTAGAAATTCAAAGCCAAGTTACCTCATTTGCTTCAAATTGTAAAATGTGACTGTCATTCTTTGTCAACCTTTATGGACTGTGTATAATGTCTTATCAGCATACCAGTGTACCTTATTGGTCAGAGGTCTTGATATAATCCACTTGAAAGAGGTTTTCAATATCCTTCATTTTGCTTTCAATGTGTGATGTTAATCCTATTCTACTAGAAGTAATCCATAGTTAGGTCCTTACCGATCAGCTGGTTAGCATATGCATTGAAAATTGTGAGGTAAATCTCTGTATTAATGGTCAGTCAAGGACAGTATGCCCTATAATTTGAGTCTGAGGAACAGCATACTACATGCCAATTTTCCTAGAGTGCATTTCTTCCTCATCGTTTGCAAATAGATCTTCTGACACCTCAAATGTCGTGAAGTGTGCCTAGAAGTTTATGCACTCATTGTCTGCTGTTTGGCAGGCTATGTGATTTGAACCCTTATAGATACAAAATATGTTATACAGTTTCTGATGATGTGTTCTGAATTTTAGCATCTGAGGAGTATTCCAGCACAGACTCAGAGGAGAGTGCAAGCAGCAGCTGTTCTGATTGGGAGAGTTTAGAAGAGATAGAGGATAAGTCAGGGGAAACTGGTTCATCCTCTCTGGAGCCTTGTGCTGCTCCCACAGTCAGTGCAAATGAATCCAAGGTATCAGTCATAAACTTTCAGAATACAGTGAAACCTCTATCCGTCGTTCCCGGAACTATCGTTTTCCCGGATGCATCGTCCGTTTTGTTCGGTCCCGAATACATCCCATATAAAATAATGTTACATTTTCCCGCTTCTATCGTTCCTCGAACTATCGTTTTATCGCATCAAAAATCTTAGTCCCGGCCCACAATGTTCCCGCAATGATCGTTTCTGAGAAATTAAAATGCTGGGTCACTCATATTTCGTTCCAGCGATGCCAGATGGCATGTGCAGTGTGAATTTCTTCACAAATGCTTTTATTACAAGTACAAAGGAAAGGCTGGCGGCACTTTTCATTCTTCTGGTTCATCTCGTTTCCAGCGGTTCAGGGTCTTCTACAGCTACGTTTCGTTGAGTTCGGCAGTAATAGTATTTCCATTCTTCCTGTTATTGTTCGCGAAGAGGGTGGGAGTGGTGAGGAAGAGGAAGACGACGAATGCGAGCCCGAAGCTTTGCCGAGTTTTGCCGAAGCACGTGCTGAATTGGCAAAAGTGAAGTCGTTCTTTTATGCGCATAATATTAGTGAACGTGACGAGGAAAACATTTTGAACGTGGAAAGTGCTCTGTTTGGTCTAAAACGTAACGTTTCGACAAACCAGTTGACCATTAAAGACTTTTTTGGTAAAAAGAAGTAACTTTGAAAGAGAAACATTGTTTTTTTAAAATTTTTAATGCTTTCCCGCATCTATCGTTTACCCGCATTCATCGTTTTTATTTCCCACCCCCGCCGAAAACGATGCATCGAGGTTTCACTGTATATTCATGAAAGGGAACATAAATGAAAAGAGTTGTTACTGCTGCATGAGTATTATTATTATTTAGTGTTCTGTCTGACGACAGGTCCCTTGTTCTGCTCAAAAAGAGTTAGCCAGTTTTCCCTATTCTCAGCTTCTCGTTTTAACTCCTGGAACTTCATCTTCTTTCCTTGTTTAAGATCGTCAGTTAGCTGTGTCCGTCTTCTTCCCAGTCCTCGCTTTCCTGCTACATGAGTAACAGAAGTTAATCTCTATCTTCTCATATGTATTGCATTGCTTAGGTTTTTCATAATAAAGGCCTGCTAAAACCAGTGTTACTAATAATTTCCTTTCTTATCCTACTCATTGTGCTTCAGTATGATACTCTCATTTTTTGCAGAATGGTTGTTCTTATCGCTATCATCCTTCCACAGTTTTAATCGAAGTCATAGATCAGGTTATTTTAGGGTTTGAGGTTCACATGTTGTCTTCTGGGTTGTAGTGTGATGGAGTTCTGCGAGACTGCACACTGCTACAACTTAAAAGACAGCCATCATGAGGTTATTTTAATCTTGAAATGATGGTACTAGGTCATTCTTCTCTAAACTCTTGCAAATGAAGGTGATCTATTAGAAGAAGGGGACTGATCTTTGCAGTATATGGCATTTCTTAGGCATCCATGATTTTTTACTCATTTGTGCTGCTTTTATGCTTCAGTAGTGAATGATCAAGAGTATTTGTACTTGTGCCCATATTTTGCATTAGCAGTAAGTACTTTGTTGTAGCATTGTTTAGGTTGTTTGTTAAAGAATCTTGGCATTTGAAAAAAGCTGTGACAAATTGTTGCTGATTTTGGAAAAATCTTAACTTGGAAGAAATTTGAAACGAATGTAAGATGCGGCTCCTCTAATCTGGCCCAGAAACAGTGCACCTGTCTCTCTAATTGAAAGGTCTAAGAAAATCAAAGTTGAAAGTAAAATTTGTTCTCATATATTCTTATAATATAAAAGGAATTATTATCACCTTGCAGATTTGTTCCTTCGTGAAGGACAGTCACACAGTCTGCCTCCATGTTCTAGAATTTTTATGGCCACATACTTATAAAAATACCAAATCTTATTTCCAGCCAAGTGAATTTTGTGTTGTGACAGTGTGCTCTGCCCCTTCTCCAAGTATCTGAACATGCACTGTGCTTGCCAGAGCTACTCATGTGACTTTTTTATTTTGCAATAGAATCTCAGTTTGAATATTCTTTTGATGACAATTTAATATGTGTGATGACAGAATTGAAATTTTCAGGAAATTGTTTCCATTTCTCTCCAGTGCACGAATGGCTATGTGTCTCAGTGTAGCAAATTCCCATGCAGTATATTAATTGGGAACTTCATATGCTATTTTAATTTTGTGACTCTGTTATGGTTTTGAGTAATGACTTTGTTATTTAGTTTAATATTTTTTCAGGCTTGTGATGGTGGGGCATCATCATCTAAAGCAGTTCCTTCTGCTGCTTACCTGTCAGATAGTAGTGATGGGCAATCAGAAAAGTGCCCTATTTGCTTACGTAATTTTACTACGCAAGAGGTTGGGACTCCTGAGGCTTGTGACCATAGTTTCTGTGCAGACTGTCTGCAAGAGTGGTCAAGGGTAAGTAACTATGTTACACTTTAGTGATGATAATTTTTTTGGTGAAATAGAAACAAGTAAGAAGTTGATAGGATCGTTCTTGAAGTGGAGGAAATGAAACTTCAGAGAGAATAAAATACCAGAGATTTTAGTCAGATAAGATTTTACTTCCCTGTCATATAGCGTGAAAGGAATACTTTCCTGTTTTTTGCTCTATTTGTTTATGTAAGCTTTATCTCCCCCTCCTATGGCTTTAATAGCCAGTGTTGTTGGCCTTAAGCATCACCTAACCCAATGTTAACTTCTGAACCCTTTTTGACCTCAGATTTTAAGATGGAGGCAGCATGTTTCTCCTAAGCAGTGTACAACTAAAAGATAGCATGTTACATCAGTCAAGAAGAAAACTATGTAAACTTACGTTACATTAGTGTGAAAACTGCAAGTTGTTTGATTTGTTTCTTAAGTAGCACTTACTAGAGCAAAATAAAAAAAATTCTGTCTGTTGATTAATTTATTTTGAGAAAAGACTATGAATTGCAGAAATGTAAAAGGTGGGTTTGGCTCATGAAGCAGAAATGTTGTTGAAATGGTTTGTAAGTGTGACAGTATTTTTCAAGTACGCATATTTGGAATTCATGTAAAGTGATACAAAATTGATCCAATTTTAAAACACCTCAACAGCAAGTAGTATTGATGATGGAATGGATGAACCGGAAGCTAGTTTCATCTGGGTAGTAGTTATCCTGGCTGATAATGTATCATGGTATTCCTCAGTTTACCCAAGCAGGTTTTGTGATGACACATTACCAACTATCCTGCCATCTAAAATTTGGATGTTCTTAACTGTGTCAGATCTTTGAATATCTAAATTTACATAAAAATTCTTGCTTTGTAAAATTTCTTTCAACAAGTAGCCCTCTGCCATTTTGTATTAAAGGCTTTGTTTCTAACTCTGTAGCTGGCTTGATTATCATGTTGCTTGTATGTATGTACTTCCGTGTTATTATAGTATTCTTTTTATCTTAATTTTAATTATTCATATTGTTTTTCTTTCAGAATGTCAATACTTGCCCAGTAGATCGACAGGTGTTTACCTTAATCCTTGTTCGACGCTCTCTGGAGGGAAAAGTTGTTAGAAGGATTCCCGTTGAACCACCAAGACAACAGAGTGAAGATGAAGTTCAGGAGGACCCAACATACTGTGAAGTTAGTATTTAACATGTAGCTGTCACAATAGAAGTTTCAAAACTGTTCCA